GCAGGCAGTGGGTGAGGGACTCTTGTTGTTGCAGATGCGGGTGACCTTCGAGGAGGTGGCTGTGTATTTCACCCCGGGGCAGGGGGCGCTGCTGGGCCCCGCTCAGAGAGCCCTCTACAGGGACGTCATGCAGGAGAACTATGAGACGGTGGCCTCGCTGGGTAAGGGCGTCCTGTCCTATTAAAACCACCAGATCCGCGAGGCGCCCAGTTTCCGCTCAGATTTTTTTTTTCCAAGCCACCCTAGATTTTAGGCGCACAGGCTGCAGATCCAGTGGGAGGGAGACTTCCAACACCACACCCCTCCTGTGGGCTGGCGGAAGCAGGAACCCAATGGGGGTGCTCGGTTGACTCTGCCCCCACAACTTTCAAGGGGGCGGGAGCTTGTATTTGCCTTCCTGAGTTATATCTCCCGGCCTTCCTTCCTTCCTGGGACAGGACTCGGGGCTCAGCAGGTTTAGAAATAGGCAGTGGCTCAGTGCCACAGCTGTGACTGCGTCAGCAAGTCCCCCAGCGCGCATAGATCCTGGGAGGGGTGGGGCGGGTTGCCCCACATACCCTCCCCCCAACATCAGTCAATCCTATCAAGGTTCAAAGACACAGATAGATGCCAGGGCAGCGTGGGACCACTGAGAATTAAAAATCAATTCCCGTTGCATGATGCACAGTGACGTAGCTGATTGTGTCCCATCTACAGGGTTTCCGGTTCCCAAGCCTGAGCTGATTGCCCGGCTGGAGCGAGGGGACGAGCCCTGGGTGCCGGATCTCCAGGTCTGTGAAGAAAGGGGGATCCCGAGAGGCAGCCCACCAGGTGAGGGATCAGTGAAACTGACAAACTAGCCATGGAGGGAAGGGAAAAGTGGAGACTCTCAACCCTCCCTGCCCCCCAGTTCTGCCTCACTCCCCCCAGGTCCAGGCTGCCACTAGCAGAGGTCACACCCTCCTGGGCAGGTGTCACTCACAGCTTCCCACCTCGGGCTGACAGCTGGCAGGGACTTCCTCCCTGACTTAGTTTCCCCCCCACCTGTTGGTTTTGAGCTGGGATATGACGGCAGCATGGAATTTCTCAGCTTCTCCTCCGGTGATTGAAAGGATATCTAAAAGGGTGTCACAGGGAGGAGCGGGGGAAAATTGTTCTCCTTGGCCTCTGAGGATGGGACAAGAAGCAAGGGGCTTAAACTGCAGCAAAGGAGGTTTAGGTTGGACATTAGGAAAAACTTCCTGACTGTCACGGTGGTGAAACACCGGAATAAATTGCCTAGGGAGGTTGTGGAAACTCCATCAGTGGAGATATTTAAGAGCAGGTTGGACAGACACCCGGGATCTAGACAGTGGTTGGTCCTGCTGTGAGGGCAGGGGACTGGACTTGATGACCTCTCGAGGTCCCTTCTGGTTCTAATGTTCTGTGATCATACGACTGTGTTGTTAGCCCTCTGTGCTGTTCTCCTGTCTGTTCTCTCTGGCGCTGGGAATAATGCCTATCTGGATTCTCTCTCTCTCAGCAGGGGATGGGTTGGGGAGTGAATGCACTGAGGACAACCCCCATCAGGAAAATCCTGAGAAAGCAGAACCACGTGGGACATTATTGGACAGATCTGAAGGGACTTTTTCCCAGAGTCACGAGCAGCAAAAAGCCTGGGGACGTGAGCTCAGATCAGAGAGGCAGCTAGGACCCCATCCAGGGTTGTCAGTGGGTAAATCCACCAATCCTACAGGAATTTGTAGAGACCCCAAAGAAACCAGAGCCCAGCGGAGAGCCCCACCAGGAAGGCGAGAAAACACCTGCACTGAGTGTGGGAAAAGCTTCAATCGGAGGTCAAACCTTATTTCCCATCAGAGACTCCACACTGGAGACAGGCCTTTTACATGCCCTGAGTGTGGGAGAAGTTTTAATCAGCGAGAACACTTTGTTAGGCATCAGAGGCTCCACACGGGAGAAAAGCCCTATAAATGCCTGGACTGTGGGAAAAGTTTCATTCAGAGCTCGCATCTCATTCGACACCAAAGAGTCCACACGGGAGAGCGGCCGTATATGTGCCCGGAGTGTAGGAAAATGTTTCGGGACGGCTCAGCCTTTATTAACCATCAGAGAATCCACACGGGTGTTAAACCCCATAAGTGCCTGGACTGTGGGAAAAGCTTCATTCAGAGCTCCCAGCTTATTACACACCAAAGAGTCCACACGGGAGAGCGACCCTACAAGTGCCCGGAGTGCGGGAAAATGTTTGCCGACGGTTCAGTTCTTATTAACCATCGGAGAATCCACACAGGAGTTAAACCCCATAAGTGCCTTGACTGTGGGAAAAGCTTCAGTCGCAGGTCCTCCCTCGTTAGACATCAGAGGACCCACACAGGCGAGAAACCCTTTGTCTGTGAGTGCGGGAAAAAGTTCAGTGACAGTTCAGCCCTTATTGTGCATCAGAGACTCCACACGGGGGATAAACCCTTTAAATGCTCTGACTGTGGGAAAAGTTTCATTCTAGTCTCCCGGCTCCAAGCACATCAGAGAATCCACACAGGCGAGAACCCCTGTAAATGTCTCGAATGCGGGAAGAAGTTCAGTGACAACGCAAACCTTATCACGCATCAGGTTACCCACACGGGAGAGCGCCCCTATAAATGCCTGGACTGTGCGGGAAGAAGTTCAGTGACCACGCAAACCTTATCACGCATCAGGGTACCCACACAGGAGAGCGCCCCTATAAATGCCTGGACTGTGGGAAAAGTTTCAGTCACAGCTCAGATCTCATTAGACATCAGAGAACCCACACAGGAGAGAGACCGTATACATGCCCGGACTGTGGGAAAAGTTTCAGTCAGAACTCAAATCTTATCATACACCAAAAACTGCACAAAGGAAAGAAACCTTGATTGTGGTGGATCTTTCAGTTGAGGCTTTGACCATACTATGCATCAGCAAATCCATACAGGGAAGACACCTCTTAAATGTTCTCAGAGTGGAAATGATTCCCGTGAAGCGAACAGCATAGTAGATCGCAGAGATCCCAGGCTACGTCTAGACTGCAGGCTTCTTTTGGAAGAAGCTTTTCCGGAAGAGATCTTCTGCAAAAACTTCTTCCAAAACAGAGCGTCTGCACGGCAAAAGTGCATCGAAAAAGCGATCTGCTTTTTCGAAAGACAGCGTCCACACTGAATCGCATTTAAGCTGTGATTACCATGGACGGCGTGACCACCAGGGCACCTGTGCTTTTTCCTCTTCCGAAAGAACTCCCTCTTCCCTGTCCACACACGCCTTTTTCCAAAAGAGCTCTTTCGGAAAAAGGCTTCTTCCTCGTAGAAAGTGGTTTACCAATGTTGGACAAACCCCGCTGTTCTTCCAATTTTTTCCCCCAAAAGAACGCAATTGTAGTGTGGACGTAAGTAAAGTTTTTTCGGAAAAAATGGCCGTTTAAAAAACAAAACAAAACTCTTCAGTGTAGACATACCCCCATACAGGAGACAAATTCTCTTAATACCTTTAAAAAGCAGTGGCGCAGCGTCTGGGACTGGGTGCGAGCCGGGATAGCTGATTCCTGGCTCGTGCCTGGTTCCCCCAGCTGCGCCTCTCCTTTTTAAATGTATTAAGAACCTGGTGGCTCTTAATACATTTAAAAAGCAGAGGCGCAGTGTCTGGAACCGGGCGCAAGCCAGGAATCAGCTGATTCCTGGCTTGCACCCAGTTTCCTTGCTATGTCTCTGCCACCCCTGCCCTTTGGGGGGGACAAGCTTTTAAGCGGCTCCCCCCAGCACCGGCTCCTGCTTCCTCACACCCTCCCCCCCCTTGCTGCCTCTCTCTGATAGAGACAGCAAGGGGTGGGGTAAGTGAAGAGTCGAGTGACTACTTGACTACCTGATAAGCATATGCTTATCGGGTAGTTGACTAGTCTCTTATATCTCTATGGAGCACCAGCACGGGCTCTCCAGTTGCTGGGGGGTGCAGCCTTGAGCCTCAGCGATCAGATCCGGGCAAGCCAGGAGCTACATCTGGCCTCTGGGCCTTAGGTTCCCCACCCCTGTTTTATAGGATCTGTTTCTTAGTTCCAGCATGCATTAGTGGCCTTTGGCTCTCAGGGATATGTGCCTGGAACATGAACATCTTTTTTCCTATGCAAACGTGGTTTTAAAATATTTTTATCCTCAATTGGAGAGGTGACGGGGGGGCGGGGGAGGAAAAAGAAAAATTCACTTTCTGTTCTCTTTCAGGAGAACTGCGGGGGAGGAAAAAGAAAAAATCACTTTCTGTTCTCTTTCAGGAGAACTAAAATGGAATTCCTCAGCTTCCTCTACTAGGTTCTTGTCAATTCCATATTCTCCCTGCAGTGGGAAGGTGAAATTGACCTGGTTTCTCACGTAGGCTGTGCACTATGTATTATCCAACTTTTTAAACACCCAAATGTCTTTTCAGGTTTTCTTGACTGTCTGCAAAGGTTATCCAGGGAGTAGCAGCTCATTTTGGCCGCTTTTAGAAACTGAAAAAGGACGGTGTAGAGGCTGGAGGAGTTGTAGCAGGGTTTAATCCCCCAAACAACAGACACTCCTCCAAAATCATTGGAAGCAGCCTCTTTCCGGTGGCTGAAAAGAAATCGCCCTGGGAGAAGAACTTTCCAGGGCGATTTAGATGACGTATCATCAGATTGGGGGAGTGATATGCGAATGTGCCGGTTGTGTAAATAGTTCTCCTTGTGCAATTTGTAAGTTGTAACATTCTTTCTTTTCTGGCTGGGCAGTAAGTCACGGTGAGTGCCGCCTTTTTAAACACAAAGATTTGGTCGGGAGTATAACTGAACGGGATGGGACTGTGAAAATAGCCGCACCGAAATACCCCTCCACCCCCGAAACACTGTGCAAACAGCTACATTTGTTGAATTTGTCATTTGAGACGTGATCTCTTTCTAGTTGGGAGATCAGTCGCTCACGGCATCAACATCCCTAGCCTGATGTACACTTAAAAGTTAGGCCAATGAAGCTGTGGCAGTCGGGGATGTGAATTATCCACATGGAACTCAGAGCAATAACCAGCGTTCCCTCTAATTTTTTCCATCCCAGTGTGGAGTAAAGACTTGGGTTGCAGCTCATCTCTCTGGCAAACCTTGCCTGAGAGCTGGAACCTCCTGTCCAGCTGCCTACACCCTGGGCTCTGCGTGGATGTTTTCTCCCTCCCACCCCATTGCTTCAACACGCCTTCATCCAGAGCTCCACACCCAAGGCATGAACCTTCCGCTTTGCTGTCCAACTCTCTCTGGAGGGACGTGGCTGTTGTGAAGCACCCACAGACCCTTTGCACAGACTCCAGCCCCGTCCGTTTGCTTAACAGCTCCAGCACCAGAGAGCAGAGAGGCGACAGAAAACCACAGACACCTGGCTCGCAATGCCCTGCATTCAATTCTCTTTTTCCTTGCGGACCATCTGTATTCCTCCGGGCTTGATGCAAGCCAGGTAGCTTCTCCCTCTGGAGATCTTCTTCCTCATCTTGCTTTCTCTCCCCTACACTGACCTACGACCCTCCTGGCTCTGGCCCATCCTTTCTTGTCCCCTGATGTATGCGCTCTGCCTCCCAGCACCTGACTTTGGCTAACTTTCCAGAGCTCTAAACCAAAAACAGAACCCTTCCCACCAATCAGAGCAGGAAAAGTCTTTTCAACCGTTTTTTTAAATAAAATACCCCTTTTTAAAAAAAATTACGAGTGTCCCCAATACCGACCGTTTTCAGACACACAAAAATTGTTTCTACCTTTGCAACGCAGGCGTCTCCCAGCCTCTGTGAATCAGTTGTTAAGAAGCCCCTTGTCCCTAGCCCTGGGAAGACACTGACCTCGCCCAGCAATTAGAAATCATAAATGATACAAAAAAAACCCCTCCATTAACAGGATGATTTGGGGGATCAATTCTGTTGCATGAACAGGAGTGTTGTGAGCAAGACCCGAGAAAAGTCATTCTTCTGCTCTACTCGGCGCGGATTAGGCCTTGGAGTGTTGCGTCCAGTTCTGGGCACCACATTTCAAGAACAATGTGGAGAAATTGGAGAAGGTCCAGAGAAGAGCAACACGAATGATGAAAGGTCTAGAGAACATGAGCTAGGAGGGAAGACTGAAAGAACTGGGCTTGTTTAGTTTGGAAAGGAGAAGACTGAGAGGGGACATGAGAGCAGTTTTCAGGTATCTAACAGGGTGTCACAAGGAGGAGGGAGAAAAATTGTTCTCCTGGGCCTCTGAGGATAGAACAAGAAGCAAGGGGCTTAAATTGCAGCAAGGGAGGTTTAGGTTGGACATTAGGAAAAACTTCCTACCTGTCAGGGTGGTTAAACACTGGAATCAGTTGCTTAGGGAGGTTGTGGAATCTCTATCACTGGAGATATTTAAGAGCAGGTTAGATAGACATCTGTCAGGGATGATCTAGACAGTACTGGGTCCTGCCATGAGGACAGAGGACTGGACTCAATGACCTCTTGAGGTCCCTTCCAGTTCTAGTGTTCTATGGTCCCCCAAATCATCAGGGCAGGTGAATGGGAAATGGCAGCCTACGACAGGGGCGTGGAGATGCCCTGCACTGAAGATGTGCCGGGGACGGTGCATAAAGAAGAGGAGCTGCGGTGAGGTGGAGGTGCTCAACGCCCTGCCCTATAGACACGCCATCTCCAGCATGCTGGGGGGAGGAGCAGCTGCGGCTGGGGCCGCCGCTGTCCTCCGAGGCCAGAGAGTGGGAAGGGTGAGGGCAGGACCTGAAGCAAGGAGTTGGGAAGCTCAAGCGGCATCTCCGCCAGCTGGGTGGGACATGGGGTTGAAAAGGGGGGGGCTGGAAGAGGAGGGCCCCCTCATGGCATCCCTGCCGGCACAGCGGGACGCTTAAAAGCATAGCCAGTACCGGCCAAAAGGGAGGTGTAGGAGGAGGCAGCGAGAGGCGGACAGGCCAGATGGCTCAGATCCCTGTCGGCAACCAGCCTTCCCCAGCTAGTATTCCGAGGCCGGTGAAACGTACGCAAAGCAGGAGGTCGGGAGCGGCCCAGGGCAGGGCAATTGCATAAGCCCGTGGGTCGGTGAGTTTCGGGTAAACACCCCACCAACCGGACAGGGGATTGGATCCGTGTCCGTACGGCTCAGGCCCGGGCTCGGAGAATAGGCAGGCCTGATCCCCCCCTACCTCCTCTACCCCTTGGCTGGGGGGTCCGTTGTCATAGAACATCCTACGGTGCATCAAGCCCAAGACTTGGTAGGTGGACACGCGGCTTGCGCGGGGCCGCGCAGTGCCTGCTTACGTGGACCAAGACCGTGGGGCGTACTGGGAGGAGGGAGGTGAGGCATGAGACGCACACGAGGTGTTGGGCCGCCAAGCCCCGGCTGCGGAGAAAATAAGCCCAACGGGCACAGTAAGGAACAAAGACCCGGTTCCCGAGTTGTCGTTTCCGTACTACTAAAACGGTTTTTGGACTCAACTCAGGCCTTGGTCCTTACACAGCCCCAGGGGATTTTCCTGTGGACAAAGCATTTCCCATCACAGAACCCCCAACTGGCGTTCAGACCTTATTGTGCTTGTCTCCGGCGTGGGAAAAGTTTCAGCCAATACTCCCACCTCACGATCCCGCTTCGATCCTAAAGCAGACTCCAGAATGATGCAGGTGAGTCCAGGGACAAGGGGTGTGTGTGTGTGTCTGTGTGTGTGAGAGAGAAGGGTCATGTGGTCCCCCAAACCCAAATACCAAAGTGTGGGGGGGAAGGATCATGGGGCTGGCAGCTGGCTAGCAGAGCTGTTTCATAAGTGACTAGAACTCCCCTGGGGTCCTGCGAAACTAAAGTAAGGGTTCTGTGAGAACCTGGCTTTCCCTCAACCTTTCAAAGAGACAGTCTATTTTTTGGGGGAGGGGGGAGTCTTTTT